AGAGGCAGGTTCAGATATAAACACTGAACTAAACAAACCGATCAGATAATTATTTAATCGGCTCTGATTAAACAACAACTTCAGATTCAACATGCGAAAACTTGCATTCATGCTAGCTCTGTAAACAAACAAGCCGGCTGATGAGACGTCACGTCTTTTACTGCTCATGCGTGTCACATCAGTGTTGTGTTGCGTTCACACAAGGGTCTGATGCAGGTCACATTTAAAATGTAATGTGAACGTTCACACAAAAAGATTAGATTTTTCCAAAAAATCAGAATTGAGCATTAAGACCTGCAGTGTGAACGTAGCCAAAAAAATGTTAAAACCTCATCAAAGAAACATAAGAAATCTTGTAGAAGAAGCTAAACAAAAGTAACACAAACTGAAATGAGCAGAACACAAACTAAAATCTATAGAGAACTATGAGTGAAACTAGAGAAAGAGATGATGAGGGCCACACCCTTGTTCTGGTTCTTTTCMATGTCCTGGTCAGGGTTACTCAGATCTGAAACTTGTCATTATTTTGACTGAGAGGGGCAAAGATCAAAGTGTGATTTTGTCTCCAGTAATCCTGGCAGAGACATGTCATGTCCAGCATGTCGATCAGGAGATCAAAGGCACATCAAATAAGACGGTCAATTTCAGGGGGAAGAAAGTAGCCTGTATTATTTGTCATGACTCCTGTTTTACTTGACTTATCAACACAATTTAAAAACTGCTGTAACGTTTGAAGTCTGTAACTTTTCTCAGAGAGGACATGTAGAGTGATTTAAATCAGTCCAATGAATCAATAGCTGTGTTTCCATCAACGTTTTTAATGTACACTGCTCAAAAAAATAAAGGGAACACTTGAACAACGCACGCTAACTCCCGATCTTAATCAATGAAATATTTGCATTGAGTACTTTGTTCTGTACAGAGTTGAATGTGCTTCACAAAAGTTTGATTTACTTGGACTTAGCGTGCGTTGTTTAATTGTTCCCTTTATTTTTTTGAGCAGTGTATATTTTGAAGTATCACATCAGAAAAGGTGAATGGAAACTACACGATTTGAAAAAAACTTCCTGTTTCGCAAAAGTTGATACGGTCTCTTGAGGTGGTTTTGGGTTTTTGTAAAAGAGTTAATGTGTAAAAGGAGAGATGGAAACACATTTACCCAATAAGTTCTGACATAGAGAACATTTACCTCACATGTTGATCAGTTGTTCTCACTGTCTGAACGGTACCGGTACCAGAGCCACTGGTAGCTGGACCCTCCTCCTGCTGTCAGTGTCTTCTCAGTTATTCCTGTAACGTGAAGAGAATCACATTTCTTTCTCTACGTCTCCAGACAGCAGTAACATCACCAAAACTAGTTATGACAGAATAATTACAACTTTCATGATAGTAGCAACATGTTCCTGATAACTTCTCTCCATTAACCTGAGATGTGTATCCCTGTGAGTTTGCAACTTTTACTTCCTGTTTACTACACACATGCGTCTGATGTAATTACACTTTGTGTAGCCTGGTTGATTCGCTTCAAGTCAGTTGATGGAAATACGTCTGATTCGCATTTTTTCTTTTTTGCAAATTTTAAAAAATTGCTCAAAATTTGAATTAAAATTGGATGAAAACATGTCTAACTCAAGGACTCCAGAAGGTTAATGTTTGTTTTTCCCCGACAGCTGTCACATCCACTGAGGTCACCTCCCCTTCTCCACTACAAGGTAACACACACACACACACACACACACACACACACACACACACACACACACACACACACACACAC